GGGTACTGGATGCGTTTTTCAGGGACGGAATGGATGTTGGAGAGGAATGTGGATAGAGGAATGTGGATTTTTTTTTTTTCAGGTGCGGTTATTTATTATTAATAGTTTTTCGTAATGGATCGCTGGAGATGTAGTTTCTATGGGGCTTTTGTACGCCGGGTGGGAGATTGATGGGTTATTGGCACTGGTGTTATGAGCACAGAGGTAGAGTGTTGTAATTTGTTTTAGGTGGTAGTCGTGGTGATGGTAGCAGTAGCAGGAGTAGGAGCACTGTTATTGAGTAGTAGTAGTAGTAGTAGTAGTGGTGGTGGTGGTGGTGATAGTAGTGGTGGTAGTAGGAGTGGAATGGTAGTGGTAGTAGTAGTGGTAGTAGTGGCGTAGTAGTGATAGTAGTAGTTGGAAGTGTAGTATAGTAGTAGTGATAGTAGTAGTAGTAGTGATAGTAGTAGTAGTAGTAGTAAGTAGTAGTAGTAGTTAGTAGTAGTAGTAGTAGTAGTAGTAGTAGTGTAGTTGGTGTGGTTGTGGTGGTGGTGGTGGTGGTGGTGGTGATAGTGGTAATACTAGTGATAGTAGTAGTAGCAGTAGGGGTAGTACTAGTAGTATCTTTTTTTAAGTGCTGAAAATGGTTGCAGTTGCAGTGATAGTGATAATAGTAGTATTATTAGTACAGTTGTTTAGCAGTTGCAGCATCGTCATTGTCATTATTATTAGTAGTAATGAGAGTAGCAGTGTTAGTACTAGTAGTTATAAGAGTAGTAGCTGGAGGATTAGGAACTAGTAGCAATAGCAGTAAAAGTAGCAGAAGTAGCAGCTATCGTAACAGCAGCAGTAGCAGGGGCAGTAGTAGGGGGGGGGGCGGAGCACGGGGAGTAGAGTCGTAGTATTCGAGTAGCAGCTATGTAACAGCAGCAGTAGCAAGGGCAGTAGTAGGGGGGGCGGAGCACGGAGAGTAGTCGTAGTATTAGAGTAGCAGCTATCGTAACAGCAGCAGTAGCAAGGGCAGTAGTAGGGGGCGGAGCACGGGAGTAGAGTCGTAGTATTCGAGTAGCAGCTATCGTAACAGCAGCAGTAGCAAGGGCAGTAGTAGGGGGGGGGGCGGAGCACGGGGAGTAGAGTCGTAGTATTCGAGTAGCAGCGTGGGATCGGTGGGATCGATGGAGAGGGTGTCTCGCAGGCTTAAATTTGGCCGTAACCTTTTCTTAATGCCACCTGCCGCACGGGGGTCGCTAGGGGGATGGGGGTAGGAAGGAGGAAAGGGGGGATGGGGGGGATGGGTAGGGTGGTTGGAAGGGGTAGGGGTGGGTTGAGAACGAGGGCGGGAGGGAGGGAGGGGAGGGAAGTAGAATTATTAATGGTATGGGTGATATGGAGGCAGGAGGCAGGGAGGAGGGGGAGAGGAGGAGGGAGGATGGGGGAGGGAGGGGGGGAAGGAGGAGAAGGGAGGAGGTAAGAGGGGGAGGAGGAGAAGGAGGAAGAGAAAGAAAGAGGAGGAAGTGGAAGAGAGAGAAGGAGGGAGGTAAGAAGGTGGAAGGAGAAAGTAGAAATAGGAAGGAGGAAGAGGAGGGAGAAGGAGGATAAAGAAAAAGGGAATAGGAATAGAACGAGACAGAAAAAAAGAAAAAAGAAAAGCACAACGAAGACGAAGGAGAGAATAAAGAAGAAGAAGAAGAAACTAAGAAACTGGGATGAGGAAGAAGAAGAAGGTAATGGCCCGGTGATTAGCCATCATAAAAAAGGACAGAAAAAGAGGAAGGAGAATTGGCGGGACGGGAAGGATCGGGAAAGAAAGAGAGAGAAGAAAAGAGGAGCGGAGATGAGCAAGAGAATGGGATGATCCAGTGACGGTAAGAAAGGAAGGAGCGGGTGGTGGGGGGGGGGGGGGAGGCGGCATTGCAAGGGAAGCTGGTAGATTGGAGGAGGGGGGAGGGGGAGGGGGAGAGGGCCGCCCTGAGAGGGCCCCTGCATGGGGTTCTGGTTCTGTTTTATTATTGTTGTTGGTTGTTTTATCTCCTCCTCGTCATCATTGTTATTATCATTATCATCATCTTTATCATCTTTATCTTTATCTCTATCTCTATCTTTATCGCCATCATCATCATAAACATCATCACATCTTTTTATCTTCATCTTCATCTTCATCACCCCCATATCATCATCATTATCATTATCATCATCTTCATCTTCTTAAATACCATCATTATTGTTATTTATGACTGAGCACCTCAAACTTCCCAAGTGAAAACGAGAAAACTATTAATAACCCAAAGAAAACATTTGAAAAGAGAGATATACTGAGAAACAAACAGAGACAGACAGAGAGAGAGAGGAGAGAGAGAGAGAGAGAGAGAGAGAGAGTAGAGAGAGAGAGAGAGAGAGAGAGAGAGAGAGAGAGGAGAGAGAGAGAGAGAGAGAGAGAGAGAGAGAATGACATATGAGAGAGAGAGAGACATTGAGACGAGAGAGAGATACATCGCGACGACGCTAGAGAGAGAGACAAGAGTGAGAGATGTGAGAAGAGAGAGGAAGAAAGCGAAAGAGAGAGCACTCATAGAGAAAGTGAGCAGAAAGAAAGAGAAAAGGAGAGAAAATTAGCCCATAAAAGAGAAGAATCGAACATGACGAAGAACACAGAAAGGAGATTAGGGAGGAGAGAGGAGGATAGTAGTGAGAGAGAGAGACCGCACCCAGAGCGACTGAGCGAGAGAGAGAGGAGAGAGAGAGAGAGAGATGAAGAGAAGAAAGAGAAAAGGAGAGACTCGAAAGAAAGAGGAACATGGGAGAGAGAGAGAGAGAGAAGAGAGAAGAGATGAGAGTAGTGCGAGACCGAGAAGAGAGAGAGAACGAGAAGTGAGAACGAGAATAGAGAAACGAGAACGAGAACGAGACGAGAACGAGAACGAGACCCGAGACACGAGCAAACCGAGAACGACGAGCAGAACGAGTGAAGAGAAACGACGAGTAGAAAATTGGCATCACCTTGAAACAGCGTGGATTTTGAAATTTGGTGGCTGGACGTGAATTATCTGGCGTAAGTTTATAATGAGCCAGGCGGGCTTAGGGGGGAAGGGGGGAGGCGTTGGAGGGAGCAGGGCGTCCGTGACCGTGAGGGACGAGAGAGGAGTCGTTGTGTGCGCTGGACGACTTCCTCGCCGGGTCGTGCCGTGATTCAGCTTCTTTTATGATTTTATTTCGTTGGTTTTTATTTTTGATGTGTTTTAACCCTGGTATGAATAGATGGATAAAGATATAAAGAATAGGTAGGTAGATACATAGATGTATGTGTGTCTGTGCGCGCTTGCTTGCTTGCAGCCATATATACATACATAATATATATATATACACATACACATATACTACACTCACATATACATATACATATAACATATACATATACATAACATACATACATAATACATACATACATACATCATACATACAAGCATGCACACACATACATGCAAAGCATGCCCACACACACACACACACACACACAACACACACCACACACACACACACGACACACACACACACAGCAGGACACACACACACACAACACACACAACACACACACACACACACACACACAACACACACTCACACACACACACACACACACACAACTATATATATATATATAAGAATATGTAGCAACAAGGAAAGAGAGAAGAGAGAGACGAGAAGAGAACGAGAGCGCGTGCAGCGCCGAGGCCGTAATGGGGTGACGCCTGACTGCGCCGCCGCCAAGCTTCACACGTGTTTGGGGGCGGTTTTTGGTTTTCTTTTTCCCTTTTCATTTTCTTTCGTTTCTTGTTTCTTCTTTTTTGATTCTTTGATTTGCCTTTTTCTTTTCTTTTTGTATGTTGATTTTCTTTTCTTTCTTTTTTCTTGTTTTTTTTTTTCTTGGCCTTTTTTATTATATTTTTCTTATTCCTTTTCTTTCCTTTCTTTTTTTTTGGCTTTATTGCTTTTCGTTGTTTATGTTCGTGGTTCCTTCTTTTGCCTCCTTTTCGTGTTATGACTTTCCTCTTGCTTTGTTGTTGTTCTTATCGTTATTGTTATTGTTATTGTTATATGCTATTGTTGTTGTTGGAATTATTACCTTCAGTTTAGCGTATTGCATTTGCACGATTTTCCTCCCATTCTATATTTAGATATTAATAATTATTTTAGTGTCCTTGTCCCAATTTTTGTTGTTTTCCTGTTCTTGAAATTATTTTTATTGTTTTACGCGTTCGTAGTTTTTTTTCTTGGCATTTATTCTCATCTCAGTTTGTTATTTTAGACATATTTTTTTTTGCTCTCGTTAAGGCCACTCGCTATTGCCATTACACAGTTGGAAGGATCTCTCTCTCTCTCTCTCTCTCTCTCTCTCTCTCTCTCTCCTCTCTCTCTCTCTCTCTTCTCTCTCTCTCTCTCTCTCTCTCTCTCTCTCTCTCTCTCTCTCTCTCTCTCTCTCACTTTCTCTTCCTCTTCCTCTCTCTTTATCCTTCTCCCTTTCCCTTTCCCTCTTGCCCTCGCTCTTTCTTTCTCCTTCCCCCCTCTCCTTTCTCCGTTCTCATTCTTTTTTTCCTTCCTTCCCTCCCTCCCTCTTTCTTCTTCCCCTTCACATGTTCTCTCCTGCCTGCGCTATCTCTCTCGCTATTTGTTTCCCCTCTCTCCTTCCCCTCTGTGGGCCTCCTCCCTCTCTTGTGAGAGTTTTCTTCCCCTCTCTTCCCTTGTTTGTCCCTCC